GCATTTGGTATTTCCAAAAATGTTATTGGATTCAATGAATTAAGAATGAAAGTAGGATTAAGAGAAGAAGGAGAACAACTCCCACTGATTATGCCAATTCACCATATTTGTAATACCACCTTAATGTTACTTCTAAGATATTTTGAATTAAATATGGATAAACAAACACAGAAATTTATCAATGAGGTCAATGAAACAATGATAGAAAAAATATTTGATCCAGTTAATGCTTTTGTACATGACTCTTTAATGCAGATATTGAGATATCTATCTCCTTCAATGTCTGAATTGAAACAAAACGTTATTTCATTATTAATTAAAGAATTAAAGAGTATTACTCCACGACATGCATATAGATTACTTTCAGTGTTTTTGTTAAAAGCAGTAAGTATAATGAACAAACAACCAAGTGCATTTAAAACAGAAGATGCACAAAATGCAATGATTAATTTAATAGAAAAAATTCTTCTTCATATTCAAAATGCAACAGAAAATAGAAGTAGTATGGTTTATCAGTGTTGTAAATTATTTGTTCATTTATTAGAAATTCGAGACTGTAATACAGTTATGTCTAATGTATTAATTAATTATCTTAGCGATGAACGATATGGGGTTGTTGCTTTAGATGCATTGTGTAATGAGATAATAAAACCTATAGAATTTAACCAATTTAAAGAAAAAATGTCATTGAAATTAAAGCCATTATCAGAAGTTAATTGTAAAATTATTTCATCACTTATTTCACAACAAGCTCCAACTGACCCTCAAGTATTTTTACGTGTTTGTCAATTAATTTATGTTTGTTTAACTACTCAACCTATTGATAATCCAAATTCAGATTTATTAAATAACTTGGTATGTTATCTTATTAAACAAATGAAAATGTTTAGTACTAACCCACTTATTGCTTTTCATTCCTTTGAATTAATAAGAGCTCTTATTAAATCATTTGATGGCAAAGCGTATGATTCATTTGTGGAATCACTAAGGAATTTTGGAGAACCTAATTTCTTTAAAGGTAATTTATTAATACCAAGCGTTTCTTTAAGTAGAATTATTTGTCAACAAATGGATTGTAAGAGCATTGAAGATATTCTTCATAATATGATTAGTAAAGAGATTGATTTAGTACCAAAGAATGAAATTACTATTATGTATAAAGGTAAACATCATGCTATTCCATTGTATAAAACAAAAGAAATGAAAGCAGTTGACTTAACTATTGATATTCTTCAAACTCTATTTTATTTACAAGTAAGTTATAGAACAAATAAGATGCCATTATTAAATGGAGATAAATGGAAAGGAGTGTTAGAAGCAATTATTCAACTAGAAACACAAGGAAATATTCCACGAGGTGTTGTTTCAAAACAATTATTGTATGAATTATCAGGAAGCTCATATTTATATCACCAAGCCACTGATAAGAAAAAATATGAAAGAGTTACTAAATTACTTGAAGGAAAAGAGAGAAAGGAAATTACTGATTTCCTTGTTAAAACAGCAAAATTATCAAGAAAAAGACCATCTCATTGGCAAAAATTTGCTTCAGAAAATAAGGATATTATTCAATTGTTATTGAAATGGATTAAATCAGAAGTAAATGAAATTGTGTTACCTGCTGTCCAAATGACTCATTCACTTATCATTGATGAAGTTAAAGCAAAAGATAATATTTCAGAGACTGAGTTATTTGAAATGGAACTCATTAACAAAGAATTAAAACAAATGAGTGACTTAAGAAAGAAAGTATCCGATGAAATCATTAATACAAAAGGTATTGGAGATATTATCAGAATGACTGCTTATGACAAGTGCCAAGAAGTAAGAGAATTACTTGAAAAAATGTTTAAAATAATGTATCGTGATTCATACGAAACAACTCAAAAGAAACTTTGGGGATATTTCTGTGGAGTTTTAGAACATCCTCAGGCTGATGTATTAAATGAAGAATTTATCTCAACAATGAAAACATTTGCTTTCATCACTGAGACTCATGAAAGAAAAGTAACTGTTCCTCTCGTGTTATAGAATAAATCACTAACTCACCTCTTTTTTATCTATTTATGGCTTATTTTTTTATCAGTTATCAATTTATTTAATAAGCATTTAACTTTATCAAGAAAAAGTGTAAGTATGTGGATGGATATATTCATTAAAATGAAAAGGAACTCAAAATTAATTACTTATTATCGCTAGAATGACAGAACCTATAACTCCACGTCGAAAGAGACGACTTTCTGATATATTCCGATTGCCAAAAAAAGAGTCAAGGGAAGATGATAGTTCTTCTAAGTATAAATATGGTAAAAAATCTATACTCTTTATTGGTGATCTTATTGCTGATAAAAATGAATTAGTAAATACCTATTTAAATGGAAAGTATTTAGCTGGAAAGTCTCAGAAAGTTGATAATGAAGTTATAGTTAAAAGACTTGACGATGAAGGTAAATGTAAAGTTGTTATTATGACTTGTGAGGGAGAAGAAAATTACCCTGGTAATAGAAAAAGACTGTATGAAGGAAGAGACATTGTAGTGCTAACTTATGCTGTAGATAATTTAGAATCATTTAAAAATATTGAAGAACTTTGGCTCCCAGAAGTTGCTTTTTATGATGAAGGAGCTTATCTTGGTTTAATCGGTACACACAGTGAATCTGATGCTGTTGTTACTCAAGAAGAAGTTCTACAATTTGCCAAAAATAATAATATTCCATTTGTAGCTGAAGTTTCATCAAAAAATTATTCAAATATAGATGAAACTTTTTTTGATTTGATACTAAAAGCAGTAAATGCAGACTTTGCAAAGAAAGGACTACCATTAATTAAATAATATTATCTTTTGGTTATGTTTCAATGTATAACTAATAATGTAAAGGAATGAATTAATTTAATTACTTCAGTAGTTAATTAATTCTACGTAACCTAATTTTATTCTTTATTCTTTGTGTTTAATTTACTCTCTTTGTTTATTCATTGACTAATTTTTATTTATTTTCATATGTGGTTGTCTTTTCATCAAAAAATGGAAGTATCATCAAATTAGTGACATTTTAGAAGATGGTTCGATTCAAAATGAGTAGATAAAACTACTACAGTGAAAGCATGGAAGTCAATCAATATTAAAAAGAATGCATTTCTCCAATTAACTAAAATGCAAGATGGAGCAATATTTTGTTTGTATAGAAAATCAAAAAAAAATGAAAAATGAAAGATTAAAATACTCAACACTTTGTAAAGACAAGATAGCTACAGTAGAACACATCTTACTATCTTGTATTTGTCATAAATCACAAATGGAAAAACATGACAATATTGGAATTATAATATTGATTGATAAGAAAATATACAGGAAATAAACAATATAAAAACCCCCATATGAAACAGTGTTCAAATATAAAGACATCAAAATGATATTGAACAAACAAATAATGCATAAAAGTGAATGACAATATCACAAAATACCAGACATATATGTATTAGATAAAAAGAACAAAACTTGTCTAATATTTGATATGACTATTGTTGAATATCACAATATTAATTGAGTCTATTTGAAGAAAAGAAATATGTATAAGAAATTAAAGAATATTCTAATGAAAATAGAAAAATTAAAAGATGTCAGAATAATTCCAGTAGTAATCTCAATTAATTGATTAATAAATAAAGAAAGTAATAGATTAGTTAAAGAATTAAAAATTGAAATTGACATTGTGAAAGAAGCTAAAGACATTGTAATACAAACATGATAGATGTCATAGAATACTGCTTCAATCACAACCAAACATACTCCTTAGAAATACTAGATAAAGATGAAGGAATGGGATTAGTCTCAGATGATTCATGAATAATAGAAGCAAGTTCTATTAATACTTAATTAATTACTTTTTATTTAAACTTTTTTACAAATTCCAGTTATTGTTTTATGATAGATATGTTTAAACAGTATATTTTATACTGGCTGTCTTCCTCATCTTTCATTCAATATGAATCATATTGACCTCCATTCAAATAAAACATATTAAGATAATAAGAAGAATATGATAAAGACTCTAAGAAAAAGATTAAAGAAAATAATGGAATGAGTTTAAAAATGTCATTTAAGATAATAACAACAAACGATAAATAAAATGGAGTTGTGAAAAAGAAAATAGCTACAGCTACAACTACAACTAAATTTAATGTAGAAAAGAAAAATGTTATTATATCAAATTCAATTATAAATCTATTATTACAATACAATTATTATTGAAGAAAAACATAATTAATCGTCTAAAATTTATAAAAAGAGTAATTTAAACATAGAAAAAATGATTGATTTATTGAAAAGTAAATAATGATATATGTTCTTTAAAACCTTATCATTTATCTTATAACCTTCAAGCAATATGATTCTTAACATAGTTATTATTTTCATAACTTGCAGTAGTTTATAAAAAAGTTATACAAAACTCCAATGAAGAGCAAAATAAAAGAATTATTATTTCTTTAATAATATACAAGAAGAAAATGAAATGAAAAATAGAAAACAATCATATGATAGAATACTTAAAAGTAAAATATTTTAATGAAGGTGACTTAAGTTATTTAGCAAAGAAATATTAAATTAATTTTATAGATGGTAATTTATTTAGCATCTCTAGTAAGTTTTAGTGAACAAAAAAAAAAGTTAAATGACAAATTTACAGGAATAATAACACAAGAATATATCTAGAAAAAAAATTGAACAAACTAATTATTATAAAGAAATAGTGTTGGAGCTTTTAAGTTAAAGTCGTACCATTGAAAATGTGATTTATTGAAAAATAATATAAATATAAAAAATTAATAATTCAATGATGGAGAATTAAAAATGTTGAAGTGATATTATTAGAACGAAAAAGAGAAAAAAGATATAAATAGAACGGACTCTCCTTTTTTCATATTTTTTTAATTTTTTTAACTAAGAAAACGAAAAAAGATTTAATCTCAGTATGAATCTAATAATTCATCATTTCTAAATGGCTCGAACTAAGGGTAACAACACCGAAAGACCAACCACTTCTAAGCAACCAAGAAAATATTATGCTCCAAAGTCGGCGTCTAAAAAGGCTGCAGTCTCTTCTAAGAAGGCTGTTGCTGGTGTTTCACAAAAGAAGCCAGTTGCTAGACACTCTCATCCTGGGATCAAGGCTTTACAAGAAATTAAATTTTATCAGCGTTCAACAGAGCTTTTATTAAGAAAATTACCATTCCAACATTTGGTCAGAGAAATTGCCCAACAATCAAAGTCTGATCTTAGATTCCAGTCTGCTGCTATTGCTGCTCTTCAAGAAGCTGCTGAAGCTTATCTTGTTGGTCTTTTTGAAGACACTAATTTATGTTCACTTCATGCTAAAAGAGTCACTATTATGCCAAAAGATATGCAACTTGCAAGAAGAATTAGAGGTGAAAGACAATAAGTCTTGTGTTATTTTTAATTGTTGGAAAAGAGGGTTTTTTGAATTGGTTTAAGAGAAACTATTTTATTATAGTAAAAGTACAACTTATTGGGAGTGTCAAGAGTAACGAAAAGTCTAATACAAGTAAATTTTTATATTTCTTTAGAAGAGTTTTAAAAATAGTGAATAACAAAAAATTTAATAAAATTGAACATTAAACTAAAGGAAAAATGAATAATTTAATTAAGAAAAAAGATTCCTCATTTGAACTAGTTAATTTAAATGAACTTTTTATTTGCGAATAAGCTTGCTTTTTATATTGTTGATAAAACTCATTCAGGAAGAGTCAGTTGTGATGAAGTAATGAATATTATGATTCCATTAGTTGGTTCTACTGATCCTACAACTATAGACTGTATGAGATTCTTTTTTTCTTTATGTGATGTAGATAATGATAATGCACTAAATCAAAAAGAATTTGAACATTTCATGTGGTGTTATAATAAGTGTTGTGAGCCTAAATTTGTTAAAATTAAAGCTGACTTAGTTATTGTATTATTTATAGAAATATTTAGAGCTATTGACAGTGATATGAATGGGACTGTATCTTGTAGTGAAATAGCTCATACTTTATCTAAATTAGAAGAGTCGAATGTTACAATGTTTGGATATAAAGATATGTTTGAAGATATTAGAGACTATGCTATTACTAAAGGTCCTCAAACGGAATTAACTGAATTTGAGTTTTTATGTATTGCAATAAAACCTGAAATTCTCTTCCTTCATCTTGAAGCTAAGTATAATGCCTTATTTAAAAAACTTGATAATTGCCAATTTGGATATATTAATGCAAAAGATCTTGTTTCTCACATTGCTCGATTTATGTTTCCAAGAGGATGTGAAACAAAAAATGCCCTTGACCTTGTTATCAGTATTATAACATCAACTACTCAATCTGAAAAAATAAAAATTAAACAATTTGGATTTCTTATTGAGTTATTAAAAGATGTTAGTCGTTCAGCAACATACTTTACTAATCCAATGTTATATGAAGCAATGTTCAGGCTTATTGACAATAATTCAAATGGAGAGTTAGATGGAGAAGAGTTGGTATTATTAATTGAGACAATCAAATTGTCTTCAAAGAAGAAAGAAATTGTTATGAAAGCCATTAAAGCGAAGTCAACAATTACCTATTCCCAATTCATTGATATTATGCATAATTAATATAACTATGTTAACAAAAAGTGACTTTAGTTAAATTATTTTTGATTAAATAATGCAATTTTGTCTCTTACACTCATATTTGATAACCTTCTTGGTTGTGTTTGTTGATATTGAGTAAAGCTAGTGAGTGGTTTTGGTGTTGAAATGAATGAAGATTTTTTTGAATTTTGAATTTTTACTTCTGTTTTTCTTGAAGAAGATTCATTGTCAAGTGGTTGTTCGAATTTTTTTATTTTGTCTCTGAGAGATATCTTTGGTGTTATAATTATATTCTCATCTTTTGAAACAATGTTTGTTGGAATGAATTTTTGAGAAGAAATTTGTTCATCTGTTTCAATTTGTATTTTTTCATTTTTTTGATGCTCTTTATTAATTGCATCATTTATTTTTGATTCTAATGAAATTCTTTGTTTATTTAATTCTTCCATAACTGTTTTTAGTTCATTATCTTTTGTAATAAGTTGTTCTTTTAATTGTAAAATTTCTTCTTGTTCCTTATTTATATTTTCTTTTAATAGATTTATGTGTTGTTCTTTTTCTTGTATTTCTAAATGCATTTCCTCAATCAAAACTTGTAATGTTGTATTATTTTGTTCTTCTTCAACTTTTTCATTTAATTCTGTTTCTAAATCTCCTATTTTCATATCTTTTAATTCAATTTCTCTTAATTTTGTTTCTAATTCAATTTCTTTTTCTATTAATTCATTTTCTTTTTTATCAAGAATTAATGAATTTTCTTTGAGTTTTTCATTAAATTCATTTCTTTGTTTTTCATATAAATTACATTGTTTCTCCAACTCTTCAATTCTTGTCTTTAAATTTTTAATGGTGAAGTTATTAACATTATCATCTGATTGATATTCTATTTGCTCTTCTTTATTTTGTATTTGGTTCTTTAATTTTACTATTTCGATATCTTTTTCTTCAATAATTCTTTGTAATTGAGAAACTTGGTTATTAAGTGACTCAATGGTATTCATTTTAAACATTTCACTTTCTCTTGTTTTAAATTCTTTTTGATTTCCTTCTTCATCAAAACAGTAGCTTTGATATTGTTCGAGTATTTCTTCTTGTTCTTGTAATTTTTGATCCATGTCATAATTATGATTCAAAGCAATATCAATTTCTTCTTCCAATTCTTTTATCTTTTGTTCTTTCTCTTCAATAATTTCTTCATATTGACTTCTATCTTTTTCAATTTCAGTAATATGATCTTTCAAATTAATACTAAATTCTTCATGAAATACTTTATAAACACATGATAATTGACTTGCTTTTAAATTTGTTTCTTCCATGTGTGTTTGTATATAATACCCACACCCTTCATCTTCATTATTTTGTTTAATTGCATTTAGCATTAATTCAAATTCATTAGGAAGTAATTTAGGAGCCATTTCTTTAATTTTTTGAATTAGTCTATCATTGCAGTGTTGAAAAATTGTTTTTAAGTGAATTAGATTAGTTTCATTAATACTATATTTTTGTTGAACTAAATCTCTTACATCTTCATTGCTTGTTTTTGTTAAACAATAAAATTCTCCAGATGCCTTAGAAGTTACTTTGATTACTTGCAATAATAATTTTAATAATGCTAAATTCTGTTGCCTTAATTCTCTATCCATAAATTCCTTCTTTTTGTTAGTTCAACCGTTACTTTTATTAAACAATATGGATTTTTAAAAATGTAAAATCTCATTAAAATTGTTTTATATATCATAAATATATTGTTTGATATAAAACTTAGTGTGTATAGAAAATGAAAAAGAAAACAAAAATAATGAAACCAAAAATAACAAATAATTACTTTCAATAAAGGAAAAACGTCATTACCTTTTCATTTTAAAAACCTTAAAATGGTGAATGAAAAGAAAAAAGAAAAGATGATATTTCTCACAAGTTCAATCACAAAAATTAAAAAAGAAGCAAAGTTCAAGCAAAAGGAATGAGCTTGTTATCACTTCATCTTAAAATATACATACTATGGGATTTATCTCAAAGACGTTCTTTAAAATATTCCCTTGTTTAAAACCAAAGGATGTTAGAAAAATTCCATTACCATTAATTTATATATATGATGACAAAAAGAATAAAAAATTCCCTGGAAATAAGGTATCAACAACAAAATATTCAATTATTTCTTTTCTTCCTCTTTTCTTATACAACCAATTCAAACATGTGACTAATATTTATTTTTTACTTGTTGCTATTATTTCACTTATACCTCAAATTAGTGCTACCAATCCAATTACTAATGTTCTTCCTCTTGTTTTTGTTTTGTGTGTATCAGGTATTAAAGAAATAATTGAAGATATTAGGAGATGGATTGCTGATCGTGGATTTAATAATGCTAAATATACTAGAGTTAATGTGTCTGATGGTAACCTTATAAGTATTACTTCAGCTGAAGTAAGAACTGGGTATGTTCTTGAATTAAAAACAAATGACAGAATTCCAGCTGATTGTATTCCATTGAGTTCATCAAACGACGATGGTATTGTTTTTGTCCAAACAGCTGCTTTAGATGGTGAAACTAACTTAAAAGAGGTTTTTGTTCCAAAAGACTTAAATAATATTGATACCTTAAAAATGGTAGGTACAATGCATTGTAATCCACCAAATGAATATTTTAATCAATATAATGCAACAATTAGCATTCAAGATGAAAATGGGTCAACAAAAGATATTCCTGTCTCTGCTGCTAATCTATTAATTGGTGGAGCAGTAATTAAAGATACAGAGAAATGCACTGCCTTAGTTTGTCATTGTGGAAAACATTCTAAATTAGCATTGAACCAACCATCATTAAGAACTAAGTTTGCACATACTGATGCAAGAATGAATCAATTTGTATTCGGGATTTTTTGTTTTAAAATAGTTATTGTTATTGTTGCTACTATTGCTGGTTCTTTATTCCTTGTACGTACTGGAAGAGATTCATGGTATTTAGATATGGAAGACATTAGTGTTGGAAAAAATGCTGTTCAAACATTCTTTAGATATTTTGGATTGTTATCTTACTTAATTCCAATTTCATGTGCTGTTTCCCTTGAAGTTGCTAAATTCATTCAAACAATGTTAATGGAATGTGACACTGATTTTAATATTTATAATATTGATGAAGATGGACAACTTGTTACAGAAAAAATGGCTGCAAAAACATCTATACTAAATGATGAATTAGCACTTGTTGAATATGTCCTATCTGATAAAACTGGTACATTAACTGAAAATTCAATGGTGTTTAAAATGGCATCTGTTGATGGAGAAGTCATTGAAGGGAAAAAGTTAGAAGAAAATTTCAAATTATATTGGAATATTGACAAAGAGAAAAATGGAATGGAAGTTATGGATAAAAGAAATGAAGACATCAATTATGTCAGTGATACAAAAGTTACTATGAAAGAAGGAGTTGATGAAGTAAAAGCTCAAGCCATTAAAGATTACTTACTTGCTCTTGCTATTTGTAATGAGGCAAGGCCTAAGAAAGAAGGAGATAAAATAAATTATCAATCTCAGTCACCAGATGAAGTTGCATTATGCCAACAAGCTGTTGATAGTAATGTCTTATTCTTCAAAAGAACACAAACTATGCTCTATGTATCACTCTTTGGTGAAATATTAGAATTTAAGATTTTGGCAATTTTTTCATTTAACTCAGACAGAAAAAGACAAAGTGTTATTGTTCAAACTCATGAAGGTCAAATTATTATGTACACTAAAGGTGCTGATTCAATTATTGCCTCTAGGATGATTCATGAAGATAATTTTGAAGCGACAAATAAACAACTACAAGACTTCAGTGTTGTTGGTTTAAGAACGTTATTAGTTACAAAAAAAGAAATAAGCCAAGAACAATATAATGAATGGAGAAAAAGATATGATGAAGCTGACAGTAGTGTTGCAGGTCATGATGAAAATGTTGCTTTAATTCAAGATGAAATGGAAGTTGATTTGAAATTAATTGGAGCTACTGCTATTGAAGACAAATTACAAGATGGTGTTCCAGAAACAATTGAATTCCTTATTAGAGGAGGAATTAAAGTATGGATGATTACAGGAGATAAAGTTGAAACTGCAATTAATATTGGGTTGTCATGTAATTTGTTAACCAAAGAAACTTTTATTTGTAAATTAAGAAATGCTCCTGATGAAATTGAAAATAAAGAAGAATTTACTACTAAAAAGTTAGTTGAAATGGATGAAGAAATAGACAAAGAAATTGAACGATGTAAATCAGAAGGTAAAGCATATAATATTGGGTGTGTATTTGAAGCTGGTGCTTTACAAGTTGTTATGGCTCATGCAAAAGATTTATTTAGACAAGTTATTTTGAAAGCTTCTGTTGTTATTTGTAGTAGAGTTACACCAAAACAAAAAGCTATGATCGCCAAAACTGTCAAAGAAGCAACTAAAAAAGTTGTCTTAACAATTGGAGATGGTGCAAATGATGTTGCAATGATTAATGAAGGAGATATTGGAGTTGGACTATTTGGTAAAGAAGGAACTCAAGCAGCAAGAGCATCTGATTATGCATTAAGAAAATTCAGACATTTAGCAAAATTGATTATGTTTCATGGGAGAAATTCTCTTTTAAGAAATGTCACATTAATTAAGATGTGTTTCTACAAAAATGCATCATTCTTTTTAATATTGTTTTGGTATTCATTCTTCAATGGACAGAGTGGAATGTCAATGTATGATGATTATACGATGACTTTCTTCAATATTTTCATTACATCATTACCACCAGTTTTTATTGCTTGTTTAGATAAAGATCTTTCTTATCAAGTTATTAAAGATAATCCAGAAGTTCATCGTGGTATTTTAAGAGGAAGCAGAATGAGTTTAGCTAGTTTCCTTGATTGGTTAGGACAAGGAATATGGCAATCTTTATTATTAACTTTTGTATTTCATTTTATGTTAGCTGATGTAGATGTTTATAGTTCAAATGGAAAAACAGGGGGATGGGCAGTTGTATCAATGTATTTAACATTTAGTGGATTTTTTATGGTATTTTTCACATTATGTACTCAAGTAAAAACATGGAACTTATGGACATTAGCGTCATTTATAATATCATTAGTCTTATTCTTTATTTTTATGTTATTAATTGTTTATTGTCCAGGTATTTCTATTAGGGATTTGTCTTATGATGTTTTTAGTATTGTATTTAGACAACCATATTTTTATCTTGTAACGTTGTTTACTGTGATAGTAGGAATAATTCCAAATATGTTACGACTATTTTGTTTAAGATTCTTAGTTCCAGGATATTATATGGTTCTTCAAGAAATTTATAGTGATAGAAAGTTTGAAGACTACGGAAAGAAACGTAAAATTGTTATTGAAGGAACTGAAGAAGCACATACCTACTATCATGAGTTATGTCTTTCTCAACCATTATTTAATAAATTACCAAAAGAACAAAGAGAGATGAATGAAATAACAAGTGAAGTAGATGCTAATGGTTATGATGCTTAAAAATTCGTAAAAGTTTTCTTTTTTATTCTTTTTTATTTTTTTTTAAATAAATCATTTTAATTACTTTTGTTTTTATAGAAATCTGAATTTATGTAAAAATGTAGAAAAATAAACAACAAATTTAGTGTTGAGAGTTTTAATGCAACTTTACTCATTGTTCGTTTATTCTTTTTTATTCTAGAAAAATATTTGGCAGTTGTTGTTAATGGTGCAAACCATTTTAAAAAGAAAAAGTTCGAATTTCAAACTTGAATTGAAACGAATTAAAAAGAACTGATCGTATTTTTGATAATTAAAAATAGAATAGACATGAGAAAATACAGGGTTTTTGATATAAGATTACTTTTATAGTTAAATTAAAAAAACAGAAGTTAATACAATTTTCTTATTTATAAAAATTACTAACGATTAAAATTCGAAGTGTACCAGTGACAGTAAGAGAGAAATAAAAATTAGTAATAAGAAATTTCTTAATGTTTATCATTTTTCAAATTATTTTTGTCGTTTCCAGTTGGAAGATTCTACAAAAATAACCAATAGTTTTTATTTATAATAAAACCAAATTTTTTTTTTAACAAACCAATATTTTGAGAGAATATTTCTGGAAATATATAAAAGGTTTTCAAAACTAAAAATTTGCAAGCGAATTTAACATGTCTTCTTGTAACGAACAGCTTTCTCTTTCTACAATTAATCCTAGGGCTAAAAGAATAGAAAGTGAACATGCATTAAAGAATGACATTTGCTATCAACAAGCCTTTTTAATACTTTTATTAAATCAATACCTTGCAATTACTCTAAAGAAGCAAAGTAAAAAATGTACAATAACTTCTCCAACACCGTTAGTTGATTCATTAATAATTGATCATTCTGTGATCAATTTAAGAGAATTCACTAAAAAACAATGTGAGTTAATTAGTGGAAAAGAATATTTATCAAATAAAACAGTTCAAAGAAGATTTTCAAAGAATAAACAATATTTTGTACAAAATTTCTTGATAGATTGTCTTAGAGAATTTAATTATCAATTTGATTCAAAATATTCTAAACCAACATCAAAAACATTACGACTGGAAAGAATCAGAAAAGTTTTCTTCAATTCAAAATACATTTGTTCTCAAAATGAAATTCAAAGTATTGGTAAAGAAGTTAATTCATATTTAGCTAGTCTTCTACAAAAGGAAAAGTCTGTTACGATAGAAAAAAATGATGTTATTTTGGCTCAATACAAACAATTTACAGAAAAAAATGTTCTCAACAATCAAATGTAACTTTAGTAATTAAATATTTTCTAAGTCATTTTCTTTATTTATTAATTTTAAATAAGTTGAAATTAACCAAAAAATTTTTATTTTAAATTTCATTTTTTAGTGTGAATAGGAATTTATTATATCACATTCATAAAGCCCCTTTATTTTAAAATCTTGTTCTTCAAATGGAATAGTGTAAACACGATATGGATCAAATGGATGAGGTCTCAAACTTAATAACCCATCACAATATTCTATTTCAGATGGATCAAAGAAACATTCAGTAGTTACTCGTCCTGTTACTGCATCACAAACAAACAAAGAAGTTTGTTTAGTCGAAGCAATAATAACAGAGTCATTATCACTATTAAAGTATGCCCTCGTATAATTATCATCTTCTAGTAATTTTTGTAATTTCATATTTAATCCTCGAACCTCCTCTCCTTTTCTCAAATCAAATCGTACTACATAATTATCTTTACCTGCTGCAACAACTGCTGTGTCATTAGAATTTATACCAACACTATTAAATGGAGAAACTCCCTTCATTACTTGTATTGGATTATTCATTTTTGTTCTAAGATCCCATGCTTTTATTGTTTTATCATGACTACTTGTAACTAATAAATTAGGATCAATTGAACCAAATCGAGCAACATTGACTGCACCTTGATGTATTGAATCAAATTTATGTTTAATATTAAAAGTATTTGTATCAAATATTGTAACACCACACTCATTACCAGTAGTTACCATTGACTCATCATTTGAATTAATGTGAAGTGAAAGTAATATTTCAATAGTTTGTAATTGTCTACAAGTTGTATCACTTGTATTTACTAAGAACAAATTTCCTTCATTATTACCAATAACAACTTTAGATTGGTTTTGATGTGTTCTAAACCAACCAATTCCATAAATTGGTTTCCTTATAATAGAAGTAATTGTTTTAATTGGAAAATGTTCATTATAGATATAGACTTCTCCATTAAGAGAACCAACAACAAGTTCTCCAGTTACTGGAGAAAAATCTAATTGTCTCGGCTTATTAATTCCTTCAATTTTATTCCATTTATTACAACAATGTAATTCTGTATCAAATCTTGTTATTTGTATTCCTTTCTGTCTTTTTTCATTAAATTCAATAACTGGTGTTTCCTTATAAGAAGAGTATTGTTTTATACGTACAGAATTTTTATCTAATTTTTGTCCATTGATAGTTTCAAGTTTTGGTAATGAAGCAATAATAAAACTAAATAATGGATTATCACATTCCTCAACACCTTGTATTTCATTAGTCATTTCATCTATTTGATTCATTAATTGTTGAATAAGAATTGCTACCCTTTCTCCCATAATGCCTTGCAATGACTCATCTTCTAAATTACTCACTTGATCAAATTGTTGTTGTAATTCTTCAATTTTTTCTTCATTTGATTCTCTCCATGGAGCAAATCTCTCCAAATTTAAACTTGTTAAATTTTTTAGTTGTGTGACTGCTTTGAATATTGGAACAAGTGACCTAAAATCAATATCTTTCAGTGAAAAATGAATAAGATTTGGTGGTAATTCTCCAATGCTTGACAATGGATTTTTATCTAAAGTTAATGATGTTAACTTTGTCATTTGAGGTGCAGAGAATGAATATATATCGTTATCAGTTAAGTCAAGATTAATTAATTGTAAGGAGGTAAGACACCCAATACCAGTTAGTCCCACTGAAGTTATAGTTAGTCCTGTTAATTGTGTGAGAGTAGTAAATTCATTTCGAGGCAATCCTCTATAACAGAAAAAATTATCATGTATTTCTAACTGAAATGGATTTTCTTGATTGATGATTTGATTAACTTTTTCTTGAAAACTAGGAATTAGAACTCTTCTTATAAACCCTTTTGACATAACTTTCTTTGAATATAAACTATTTTGAGTTAGACTCTTTTTATTTTTTCTTTTTTATTGTGTTTTTAAAAACATTTTTAGATTGAGTTTTGACAATGATTGAAGTTAATAATATTTCAAAAACCAAATCTTACTATTTTTTCTCTGTCAATTGTTCTATTCAATTAAATATATTACCATTAATTTCTTAATAACTCTATTAAAATTAATTTGAGTGAATTTGATTAATTAGTCTTCAGATGATAAATAAAGATTGAAATAGAAAAATAAAATTTGTGTTTGTTAAGGAAAAAAGATAATAATGAAAAAAAAAAGAAGATTAAAGCTAATAAATATTTTTTTTGTATAGTGCGTTATTTTAAAAAAAAAAGTTTTATAAACAAAAATCTAAATATAGAAAAAGTTATTCAAATTGATTTTAATTAAACTAAACTAAAAAATGAAAGTGTTTTTAGTTGAATTGCTTGAATAAAATGAACGAAAACACCGAAATTAAACCAATAGACTCAACTCCTCCAAAAGAATTTAGAAAACATGTAAGAAGAATTGCTATAATGCCCTCATTACCTCTAATGAATATACAATATTTTGATAATACATCAAAGAAGAACTCTTTTTCTTTACCAGAAATACCTTCTCAAGTAAAATCAGTAAATGAATTACTACCTGAAGACATAAAACAAAAAGAAGAAATTGATGTATCAAATCATAAATATGGAAGAAATTCTGACGCTTTTCAATACTCAAAAAGGAATATTGTTAGACCCCCAAAAATTCATATAGAACCTGTTAAAAGAAGTATTGATGATATTTCAAAAGATATTGAAAATAAATTGAAATTAACTGATTCCCAACAGCTAATTCCTGAACTGTGTTTGTCTCCACGTGTTATTCGCATTGGAGTACATCCAAAAAGAGCTGTTTCAAATGGATTGTGATTTTATTATTTTGAGAAAAATGTTATTCAATTATTTGTGTTTTTTAGTTATTTATAATTAATAAAACTATTATGAGTTTTAAAAATTAAACATGAGATTTTTTACTATAGATACGATACTTTATTACCCCCATGAAAAATTAATTTCGTTTCATTAAAAATTCCGGTTTTTGTTTCATTCTTCATTATTAAAATCATAAAAACTGAAAACTAAAGATCTTCTCATTCAATTCCTTTATATTTATGAGCACTCTTATCACCCCACCTTCTCCTCGTTGGAACCCCTATGAAAGAACAGCTAAAACAGTAAGCCCAGAAGAGAGAAGTTTATTTTGTTATTGTCCTAATATTGTTGCCTTTCCTCTAGCTTCAGTCTCTCCTAGATCTACTTCAAGTGATAGTTCAACCACTGAATTTAAAGGACAAAGTAAATTAACAAATGAAAAAAGTATTTCTGAATCATTCATTTCTCATACAACTAGTGAAACATCTACCCCAAGAAAAGGTTTTATAGGGAGAAATCGAGCAAAGTCTGGATTAGTTAAAACTGTTCCTATTGAAGAGCATAAAGAATTACATTCTTGTTGCCATTCTATTGAAGAGTCTAAACTTTCAGTACCAAGTCAGTTAACATCTTTATCATCTAATACCTCAATTTCTATTGAAACAACTGGTGTTTCATCAAGAGAAAATATAAAAGAACAACAACCATCAGATATAGTATCTAAAAAAGTTGTTCCATCTATTTCTATAGAGAATTAAATTTACTTGTGGATAGACATCACATTATAGAATTTATAAAGTATTACTTTTTTATTTTCTTTTCTTGTTTTAATTATTCTATTACTAGTCTATTCAAAACAATTATTGTTTTAGAACAATTCTATGAAATATATTATTTTTTGATTTATTCATCTAAGAATAGTGAATTTATTAGAATAAATTAAATACATCTTATAAAAAAACCACAGTAAATAAACAATTTATTACTAATATTTTATGGTTTTTTTATTATTTCTAGTATGATATTACACTATACAAAAGTATAACTTTAAGATTATACTATGTCTATAATAGTACTTTTAAGATCATCTATAAAAAGTTAGATTAATAATACAATATATAGGTTTATTTTATCCTATAGAATTAGATTAGTGGCATTGTCACCAAGTAACAATCACAATAATATTTTTTCATGGCAAAGATAAAAATAGGTTGATTTGCTACATAAAATACTGAAATGATAGAAAAAGAATGTTTCAAGAAGGGGATTGGTGTTATTAGAATATAATTAATACTCATAATGTCTAAAAATAAAATTATATTTTTATTTAATTATTGATATTTTTGAAAAGATTCTCCTAAAGATAAAAATGAAATATTTTGGCAATAGAAATGTCAATGAAAAATTAACAAAATATTTTTGAATCAAATCAAACTACAGTCAGAAATTAATGTTATTATCACTTGTTTGATAGTTCACATGTTATCATACCTCTTTTCTATTTTAATAAATATAATATTCTCATAAATGATTCTAAATATTTCATATGATTATTCTCAACAATACAACTCTAATTTAGTCATTCTTTTAAATAAGCAGTAAATAATAGCTCCTTAACAAAATTATTAAAATAACAATGAATAAAAACGTAGTATTTATACATTAAATGAACTATAATAAACGTATATATTAATTTTTCAAAAAAAACTATAATACTTGAAGAACTTTTTTAATATAATCATTATCAATTGTTGGAACAGATAATGCAAACCAATCATTTTTATACAAGTAACTATTATTTAAACGAATAGAGTCATAATGTTTCTTACTTCATATAAATTTGATAAATATAAAAATGAAATTAATATGTTTTGAATTATTTTCAATCTTACTATTTTATTCTAAAGAATAAACTATTGTTTGCTTCTGTATTAATATTTTTGTTTTATTTTTGGTAATAATACTATAAGAAACACTAAAAGGAGAGTATAGTTTTTTTTAGTTATTTATAAGTTGCTTATCTATGAATGATTATAATATACAGAACAAATTAAAGTATAATTAAAATCTTCATTAAATTCATTAAGAAATAATAGACTTGTATTAAATAAATAGATAGTATTTAGGTCAATAGATGAAAGTTATAAATGGATTTTCATTCAATTTTCAATAACTAAGACATAATTAAAAATAGTAAATTAAAATAAATGACTTAACAAAATAAAAAGTAGCATATTAACATATAACTGAGTTATGTAAAACCCTTATAAAATGAATTATAACTAATTAACTAATGAGTTAAATGTTAGATTCACTTTATCTGTCAAGTCTTTAAAATGCCTCTTTAGCAAAACCAATATAAAATTAAATTGTTCTTCATTTCCTTAGAAATAATTAAAACTAATTTTAAAGACAAATACCTTTTCTATTAGATTTATTTTTCGGAGTATTTAGATATTTTGATACAAATTTTAAAAATGGTATTAAAAAAAAGAAATACTAATTTTTAAAAAGAATTTCAGAGTTATTAATATAATAAAAAGTCTCAAATAACTACTAAGTATAACAAACTATTACATAAAGTACTTAGTTTAACAAGACTTCTACTAATTTAACTCACTAATTCAGAAATTATTTTAATAAAGAAATAAATAGAACTATGGTATAAAAAGTATAGACAATTAAACAAAAATATCTAACCAATAAAAGTTTCTACTTTTCTTAAATTTAAACATATTCTATTTGAACAGCAAAAGTTATGTAATAAAGTTTTCTTACAACTAACAGAGAAAATAGGAAACAAAACTAATTCCAAGAATAATCAGAAGCAGAGTTTTTTCAAACTAAGAAAAGTCAAAATAGTTAGAAAAGTAGTTTGTAATTTCATTTAAGTTTAATAATGATAAAAGTATAATAAAAGAATTAAACGAAAAGATAAAACAAAAATACAAAAATAGAATAAATGAAAATAAAAACTTAAAAAAAAACTAATTTTTTATATGTTTGTATTTGCTTTACTTTTGGCTCTTGCTTCAGCCGAATCATATGGTGTAGATGTATCTCAACCAACATCTGCTAGTTCTATTTCTTGCCTTAGAAATAATGGATTCACTGGATTCTTCATTTGCCGTGCTTGGTGTTCACCAGGATATTTTGATGATAATGCTCCATATACTCTTGGACAAGCTCAATCTGTTGGATTTGTTGGAGATAACTCAGAAGTCTATTTCTATCCATGCCTCTCATGTGGTAATGCTGCTGGTCAAGTCCAATCTTTCTGGTCAAGCGTTATTGCAAATCAAATGAAATTCAAGAGAGTTTGGTTCGATATTGAAGGTCAATGGTATTCAGATGTTGGATCAAATAGAGCTTTCTTCCAAGAACTTATTGATACTGCCCTTGGAATGGGTATTGTCTCTGGTGTTTATTCATCTCAATATTATTGGGGATGCATTTTTGGATCTGGATACAGTTATGGTCCAGCTGCTTCTCTCCCATTATGGTATGCTCACTATGATAATTGGGCTTCATTCGGTGATTTCTCTTCATTCGGTGGATGGTCATGGCCAACTATGAAACAATATAGAGGAGATGTTTCTATTTGCTCTGCTGGTGTTGACTATAACTACAGAGAATAAGCTACTCATTTCTTTTTATTTAATTTTTAAAGTTTTATTTGCAATTTAATGTTCAATTGAAAAGATATAATTGTTAATGTTTTTCAAAATAATTTAACTCATTAAAGCTTTTATTTTTCAAGAAAAAAGATATATAAAATTAAAATAAAGAACTTATAAATATTCTTCATAATAATTTATGGCTAGTGGAGAACAATACCAAGTCTTTTATTTAACTGGTGAAATTAATGAGTTTGTACAAATATGTATTAGTTCTATGGATGGAGATATTGATTATGCAAAAATTGGAATGCCTGAATTTCCAAAAACTAAACCAAATCAAGTATGGATTGGTGCAACATTGATAAGTGGTGGTGTTCCTATTGCAATAGAAGAAGAACGAACACCAACAAGAGATTATATTTCTAAAGCTGAATGGAATGATCGTATAGTATTTCCTATTCAATATAAAGATCTAAGTGAAGACGCAGTTGTAGTATTTCGTGTGTATTGTTATCATGTTGAAAAAGGGTATGTTCCAGTTGGAGATGCTGTGTTACCATTATTTAGTTCTGATAAAGGAAATGTTTTAAGAAAAGGGACTAAACGTGTAAAAGTAGAACCTTGTAAAAAAAGTAATTGCAGTATTTCTTTGGATGTAGAAGAATATGAAAGACAACGTCTTCAAAGATTAATTCTTGATGAAAAAGAAGAACGAATTAGTACTAAAAAAAATGCGTTAGAACGTGCTGAGAAATATCAAACAAAAATGATGAGTGGTACTAGTACAACAGATTTTCTAGATCAATTTACTGCATCTATTGTTCCTGCTTTTCGACAAGAAGAAGAAAAAAGAACTGGAAGTCTTATTTATATATCAGTTATTCTTCCAGAATTTGATCATCCAGTTAAAATACAACGAAATGAAAAGATACCATCTGAATTACCAACTGGACTAACTCAAGGAAGAACTACTGAAGATGGTCCAGTAACAGAATTGAATTTTATTGGTCAGAGTAATGAAATGGCAGGAGAAAAAATGTATATGAAATTAACTGCTTCTCTTGACGCTAAAGGTATGGGAGATAATAAACCAGTTAGTATAATGGAATATAAAAAATTGGAAGCTATTAGTAGAATGCCTGCTTCTGTTACTGTATTAAATGCTGAACAAAAGGCTTTATTAAGAAGATATGGTAGATATTTAGCTGCAACAAATCCTAAAGCTCTAAATATTTTCTTAACACAAGCTATTGATTGGGAAGATCCTCATGAAGCTGCAGAGGCAATTGAGTTTGTAAAAATATGGCAAAAGATTGATGTAGAAGATGCATTAGGATTATTATCTATTAATGATAGTAATGTTAGGTCATATGCAGTAGATTCATTAAAAAGTACTACCGATGAAGAGTTTGAGAATTATTTATTTTCTTTTGTTCAAGCACTAAGACTAGAAAGCCAAGAAAAACCAGGTAAACGATATCTTACTGATTATCTGATTGAACGATGTAGAGAAAATTTTGTCCTTGGAAATTGGTTTTATTGGTATCTTACTGTAGAATGTGGTTGTACCAATGGAGATATAACTTTCTATAAATGGGTTCGTGATATGTTTGGGTACAAAAGAAATCCTGAACATAAAAAAGAAACAGAAAAACAAATAAAACTTATTTCAGAAATTACAAAACTACAACTCCAATTTATTGCCAGTCCACTAAGTCGTCCTGAAAAATTAGAACAATTAAAACAATGGATTGAATCACCATTAGTTAAAGAAATATTTGCTGATGGTTCAATTGCTTTACCATTAAACCCACGCGTATATGTAAAAGGTATTAATCCCAAATCATCTTATATATTTAAATCAAACAAAGCACCATTAAAATTACCATTTATTGTTGACACTGAAAAAACTAAAACAAAAGGAAAAATTAATTATGAAAATAAAGAGTTTATTGTGATTGTTAAACATGGAGATGACCTTAGACAAGATCAATTAATTGTTCAGATGATTGCATTAATGGATAATTTATTGAAGAAAGACCTTATGGACTTAAAATTAACACCTTATCATGTAGTTGCAACATCACCAGTTGATGGAATGGTAGAGTTTATACCATCAGATGGAATGGGAGATATTATTAAAGATGGAACTTTGAGAGATTATTTAATGAAAATGAATGGAGGTTCTATTCCTACACAAGTAATGAATAATTTTATTAGAAGTGTTGCAGGAAATTCAGTTATTACTTATCTTCTTGGAGTAGGAGATAGACATTTAGATAATCTATTAGTAAGAGGAAATGGAGTAATGTTTCATATTGACTTTGGATATATTTTAGGAAAAGAATGTAAACCATTCCCACCTCCAATGAAGTTATGTAAAGAAATTGTAGAGTGTATGGGAGGGAAAGGAAGTACTCAGTATCAAGACTTTACAAAATTATGTTGTGAGTGTTATAATTCAATTCGTAAATCATCTAAATTAATTATGAATTTATTCCAATTAATGACAGACTCCAACATTGCTGTATTCCAAGAAATGGGAGTTAAAGTTATTATTAAATTAAAAGAAAAATTAAGAATGGATATTTCTGATGAACGAGCAGCAAAAATAATGGTAGGGTTAATTGAAACAAGTGTGAATGCTTTATTCCCTGTGTTCGTAGACTCCTTCCATGATTTTGTTCAATATTGGGTTTGTTTTTCTATACAATTATATTTAATGTACATTAATACTATAAAATAAAAAACATACTAACAACAAATAGAAAAGTTAAATTATTTAATTTTTTCTGTGACTACTATTGTTTGGAACTGCACTTGATATAGTAACTGTTTTATCATTTTTGACTTTAATACTTTGATGCAATAATGCTTTTTCTCTTGCTGCTGCATTTTCAAAATCAACAAAACCATAACCAGTATGAAGACGTACTTTAACAACAGGTCCAAAATTTTGTTGGAATACTTCTGCAATTTCTCTTTCAACAAGTCCTGTTGTTTTTCCTATGAAAATAGAATAATCTGAAGCTGGAGCACTATTTTTACTTCTAGAACTATTTTCACTCATTTGAGCAAGTTTATAAGATTGAACAGAACTTTTAGTATGTATCTTCACGGATTTAAGTTCAAAAACTCTAAGAAATGCATTTTCTGCAGTATATTCATCACTACAAATAACCCCAATTCCAAGCATAGTTGGAATTACAAATGTTAATAATGAGAGTCTTGTATTTGTTTCTAATTGTTGAATTGAAAGAAATTTTGTTTCAATAACACTTTGAACAGCTAATTTCTCTGGCTCAATAATAAATATTTTATTTGCATCATATGCAATAATTGAAGGAAAATGAGATACCAATTTAAATGAACTACCTCTAAAAGGAAGACTAACTTTTCTTGTATTATCACCACTTGTTAAAATTGTTCCACATAATAAAAATAATTCTTTTTTACAAAAACATGCATCTGTTAATTTTTGTTTAAATGGATATTTAGTGATTTGTGTTGTTTCTGATAATGAAGGAGAGAATGTAAATATTTCTCTTTCTCCACAAACACAAGCATCACTATATGAATTATTTACAAATATATGTTTTCCTATTAATGACTTGTGTGATACATGTTCTAAGACTTCATTATCTTTTTGAGAAACTATTTGATAACAATGTAATCCATCATGACAAAGAACTAAAAATTGTTGGTCTTTGAAAAATCCATCATTACTCCATACTAAATCAATCAAATTATCAACTGAACCAATATATTGCATTGCTGGTAATGAATAAATATGTGCTATTTGATCACAAATAGCAGCAATATGATGTGACGTAGGTGCAACACGAATTTTTAATGTGTTGAGAGGTAATGCAAAATGTCCTATAATAGTATTTGTTTTAAGAGAGTAACATGTTAATGAGTTTGTTTCATCATGAACATAAAGGTTATATCCATATCCATCAATACTTTGACTAATAATTTTTTCTGGAAACACAATTTTCATAGCATGAGTTAATTTTGTTGTCTCCATTAAACCACAAGAATTTTTAATTAATTTTTTTCTTTTTTTTTAATTTGTTTTTTATTTATTTTTGTCATCCTTTTAAAAAATTTGATGAACTAAACGTTCAACTGTTTTAAACTTCTTTATAACAATGAAATATAATAATTATGAATAAACTAGAAATATATAAGAATTTTAAATAAGTAAGAAACAATAATATTATATTTATTAATCTATTATTTCTTGTACGATACTTATAACTATTTTTTTTTTCTGTTGAATTTGTTTATATATTTTTTAAATAAAAAACCAAAAGATTGGAGGAACTTACATTAAAAGAAAATTTCATATTCATTTAAGATAATTAAAAATAAAACTTCATATATAATTTAAAATAATGATATAAAAAAACTTTCATTTTTGAAAGTCAAATTTAAATCTAAAAAACTAAACAATAATTATTAATAAATAGAATAACTCAAATACCATAAATAAAAGTTAATTAATTCATAAATTAAAAATTATTCATCATCTTCTTTTTCTTCCACAGATTCTAATAAATGAATATCACATGAATGGTCTGCAACAAGAATATGTTTTGTTGTTTGATTAGCAGAAAAGTCATTAATTCCAATAAAGTTACGAGCAAAAACAGTTTCGTATGCTATTGTTAAGTTTTTAAAAACAAAGTAATACAAAAACTTTTTTATAAACAAATAAAATAAACAAACCACAACTAGAACGACATTGAAGTTGATTTGGAGTTGCAATCAAATACAATCGATCATGATTAAAATATGATGCTTGTTGTAACATTCCCATTGATATTTCAAAACTTTGAGTGATTTTCAATGCACCAGTTGTTAACCAATAAATCATACCATTACCACAAGCAACCATTAATCTATCTCCTTTCATATTCATGTCAATAGAATGTGCCATAGGTGGATTAACAAGGGTATTTGTTCCAGTCTTTGGGAAAGAACATTTATTCATTACATATTTAGTTTTAGGAGATGGGTTCCATAATTTAGATTTGACTACTGTCATATCAAGTCCAGTAGAGTATAAAGTCATTTCTTTCTTATCAAAAACAAAATCAGAACATAAATGAACGTGAGTATTATTTTCTTTTATTTCATTAATAAATTCAGATGATAAATCACAAACTGACTCATGTGTTCCAACTAAATCAACAATTCTTTTATTACTGTTAAACTCAAAAACACTGATATTACCTGAATCATCACAATAACCATATCTATTATTTGTGGTGTCTATTTTAATTTTATTAATTTCATCTTTAGCTTCATCTTTGAATAATACATTTTTAATAAACAATCCATCAACTCGTAAATCAAGTTGATTTATTTCATTTCCACTTGAAACAAAACAGATATCATCATTAAATTGTGATGATGTTATTGAACTTTTATTTGGTGCTTGGAATGCTTTAATTGTTTTCATTGTTCTGAAATCCCAAATCCTAAATATTCCCTTTTCATCTCCAGAACAAAACAAAAAGTTATTGGTAAGACTCCAATTGACACAAGTTACAGGTGCATTATGTCCTTTAATTGAAGTCATTGATAAATGGTTGTTGTAGGGTTTTCTTTTTTTTTAAAAAAAACCACAAAAATTTTAGAAAAGTCATTCATGAATTAAAAAATAAAGAAAATGAACTAAAATAATTTATATTCTTTTGGATAAATGAAAATATTACTTGTATTATTTATTACCTTGACAACATTAGCCAATGAGTGCATATTAAATGGGTTTAATTTTAGTTCTATTCATTCAGAAATTGAAGATTATTCATTTTCCCAAGGCAATGAAACATTTACCTATGTTAATCCATGTGGAAGATTATTATATAATTATACAGTCAATTCAACTATCCCATCACCTGATTACTCTGTTTTAACAATTAATGTCGATGATAAAATTGATTTAATGGGTTTAACTTCAAGTGAATATTTAAAAGATAAAAAAGATTATATTGAATTTAAATACATCTCTTCTGTTAATTGTAGTGCTACAGAGAATTATGAAACAAAAGTGAAAGTGTATTGTTCTAACGATGTAAAAGACTCAATATTTTATGTTAAGTACGATGACAATGACTGTGAGTTTGAAGTCAAAATGTACCATTCACTTGTTTGTAAATACATAGAATCTAAACAAACATCTTCTACATCCCCACACCCACATCCAGATGATGATGACGACGATGATGATGATGATGACGACGATAATAATTTCCCAATAGTAGGAATTATTTTCTTGTTAATTCTTTTCAGTGGTATTTGTTTATACTTAGTTATTGGAGTTATTATAAATATTTTAGTATTTAAGAAAAGAGGAATTGCTGTTATTCCAAATTATGTATTTTGGTTATCATTGCCAATGCTTATAAAAGATGGATGTAAGTTTATTTTCTGTTGTAAGAAACCATCACCTGAACCGTTTTATGAAGAGGCACCAAACCAAGACTTTGCTGATATGCAATTTTAATGAATTAAAATATATATGAAGAAAAAAAAGGTAATAATTGAATTGATACGTAATGAAAACAAAAATTGTGTTAACATTGAATTTGTTGGTATTGAGGATTAAACTCTTTTCTTATTTTGATTTCCAATAAAGTGTTCATAAAAAAGGCATAAGTCTGTGGATCAGTCTCTTGTATAATCACATTTTTAATTAGAAGAATGAGTTTACTTATAAGTTCAACTGGAATTTCTTTATTTGTTGTAAAATGAATCATAAAATAATTTAATATCAGTACAAAGAGATGAATATTTTCTATTGATTGAATTACATTACTTCCCATTTTTGCAGTATTTTTAAGTAATTCAAAAACATGTTTATCATCTCTTATTTTTGATGTACAACCAGCAAGTGATGCACATTTACATGATAATTCACATTTTTGAACTGTTTTTAATAATCCAATTGCTTTTAATTCAACGCTAGTTCTTAAATCAATTGCTTCAGTTATTCCAACATTAATAATGTTTACAATTCCAATCATTGCTAATAAACTCTTTTCTTGTTCAATTGAATTAGAAATATCTCCATACGCCTCCCAACAAATAACCAATAAGTCTTTATATTTCATAGATTTCCATTCAGCAAGAGTTACTGCAGCTTGACTACCAATTCTAACAGTTTTACCTGCATCAATACCTTTCAATATATCACAATATTTAATTATTAAATCACTTGAAAAATCTCTTAGTGATTCTTGTATTCTTCCAGCTTTTAATAATGCAAATACCAATGGTGGAATACACCAATTTAAACGACTTTTATCATTTTGCCATTTTATTCCTATTGCTTGTTCAGCTAAATTATTAAAAATGTTCTTAAAAATTTGAGGGTCTTTCAATGATGTTATATGAATCATTCTTAACCCTTTTTCTGCGTCTTCACTAGTACTATTAAATAATGACCCACATACTTCTAACATATTATTCATTTCTTCTTCACTTTCAACAATAAATTTAGTAGAATAATTTTCTAAAATCTTCTTTGCAACAGGTACAACACGATCTTCAGGTAATTTTTTAACAGCAATCCTAAAATTCTCATTTTTAATAAAATGTTTAAGTTCAATAGAGTCAATAGGTTGTCTTAATAAATTCCATAGATTTGTTGTTGATGTACTATTTAATGGAGTAGGAATTGGAGAAATTAATGAAAATACCTCTAATGTGAATTTTAATGGAGATTGAGAAACTCTAGCTACTTGATATAATGACTGAAGAAGAGAAATAAATACATCTGTCTCAATAAACTCACAATAACGAGCAATTACCTTAACTAAAAGAATAAAATCTGATGCACTAACTGAAGTTCTTGTTAATATTTTTATTAATTCTCCAAGTCGAGAGAAAGCAGAGTCATTTTCTAATTGTTGGATTGAAGAAACAAAAGAACTTAAACCTTCAAGAAGAAGAGTAGGTGGAAGTGAATCCATTAAAGCAGATAAAACAATAGGTTTTGAAAAGTCATGAGAAGCACCAACAATTTCACCAAGTAATAATGGAATAATTTCTGTTAATAAAGATTCAGATGAAATTAGTTGACAATTAATTAATGCCTCATACACCTCTTTTAATGGATAGCACATTTCAATAATATCTTCAACCTTATTTCTATGAGAGTTATCATGACGTAATACAGCTTTTGTTGCTTCTAATGTATTTGTAATTATAAACCTATATAATGATCTATCAGTTTTTTTCTCACAAATTGAAATAAGGTCCAACATAAAGTGATGAATGAATAATGATTTAACAGGAGAATAAATACATTTAGAAAATTCTAATAAATCTTCAAGTAATTCTTCTTGATATTCAGGTTTATTTTGTATAATTCCTTTAGCAACACAAATCATTTCATAAACCCTTATTAATACTTTCATTTGAAATTGTACTTTTTCATAAAGTTGCATTGGATTTATAAGAGTTTTAGAATAATGAATAAAAGGGTTAACCTTTTTTGTTATCATAAGGTAGATTAAATGATAATCTCTGGGTATTGAATATCCATCAGACAATAAATCAAAAAGATCACTGACAGACTTTATACCATCTTCTTCATTCTCAATAAACATTTCAATATTCATTTGTTTAAGCTCAATTTTGTTAATTGTTTCACTTAATTCACTCATTCTAAAGAAAATCTTGAAAATTACTTTTATTTTTCAGTTTTTACAAAAAAAATTATTTTTAAAAATTTTTTTAATTTTAATTTTGTTTTTTCATTGATTTATTTTAAACTTTAATTTCTTCGTTTCTGAAGTTTAAAAAGATAAAAATAGCTTATTATAATTTATTTATAGTAAAAACTAAAAAAAGAGTAAAAAAGGGTAAAAACAGAACTAAAATGGTTAAAATTGGTTCGTCTAAATACAGCCATGGGAAGAAATAAAATATCTATTGAAAGAATTGCAAATGATAGAAACCGTCAAGCTACATTCACCAAAAGAAAAAATGGATTGATAAAAAAAGCGATGGAGT